GTCCCATCTCCCTTCGCTTTCGGTGTGCGTCCTTGATTCCCAGTCAAACCGAGGCCAATCTAAAATTAACGGAAACAGAAGCAAACATGTATTACGTATTGACGATATATCTACTGGCCGATGATAAGGATTTTAGAAATCTAATTTCCATAGGATTTTTTAAGTTGAGTGCTGGCATTTTTTATTTAAAGTAAAAGATGATTCAAGAGTCCATTTGCCTGGCCAAATGCTTTAGGAGTCATCATTTTCACTAGGCGGCTATGGTAACTCCATTAGGGCATCTAAAGAGAATATTTTATTTGATTTAGACTCGGCAACAATGTATTTACTTCTCTTTATAAAGGAGCACAATCTGGCTGAATAATAGCAAATTAATCATGATAATGGGAGTTTGCCCCCTCCGTGAGCATTCGGTATTTTGGAAGATTCATTGATTCAGAAACATAGTCGGATCCATAATGCATTTTCTGCCAATCCTCTAGGTGAGGCTTCTTTTATGATTATATTCGCATTGATTATCCCGGATAAATATTCGCACATTGCAAAAGTAGAGTAAGTATGAGGTTGTTATTCGAAATAGTACGTTACTTAATTGACGACTTGGAAATCAATGCGCACCGCATTAGTGATAGTAAAACAATAGGTAGTTGGCTTGTTGCATCAGGAGGGAATGGGTCTTAGCAGTAGCCTATAAGCAGAGATTCCAATTTATCCTCATTGCATACGAATCCCGCTGCGCCTTCTTTTCTTAAAACGTTTAGTTATCTCATCCAATTTTTGAAGGAATTCTTAAAGCTTGTAGAGCTGTCTCAAGCCTTTCGACAATTGTGATGCAAACTCATAATTTGGTAGATTTTTGCCTTATTTTGACATGCATATTAAACGTTATACGGATGGGAATTTGCTTAAAATTTCGGAATTATTCTTTTATAAGTAGGTCTTCGTGGCTTTCAGTAGATATTGAATTGGAACTGTGCTATACCTATTTCGCTTAAGGGACTGTTAGTTAAATTTTCCCACAATGATATGATATACCAAATATTTTCATTAAATCTTAGATAGCCTTGCTCTCCAAAAAGTATTTTTATTCCAGATGGACTGTGGTTTTGTCATCGCCTAGGTCTCAGCACACCTAGCAAGACTCCAACCAGGGTAGTGCAAAGTGTAGTCTCGGCACATTACAAACTGCGTCACACTTTCACGAGTGCCCTCGGGTTCCAGCGCAAACGTGAATTTTGAAGGCCAGGCCTATTCGATTTCATTTTTAGTGGTAAGATAGTCGAGGAAGCAAATTTGTATTTGCTATTACAATCGAGTACGTGGGCTTTATAGACGACTAGCAAATTTTGAATAAAAACTGTCAACTCTATTCCACCTGAGGTGAAATTCAATGTAAAAATAAGGTCTATTTATATCATTGTAGGGGGATTCAACTACCAGACCTACATAATCTTAAACAAAATAGGTGAATACATCTCGTAATGATGCTTTATCACCAAATGTAGTTTTAACGCAGAAAATCTTGTAATAGTTTTTAGATTTAGCTATCACAAATTAATGATCTAACTAGAGAGACCGAAGATATGATTGGATTATCTAAATTACATCGGCTTGCTAATTACGTTACATCCGCAGCTAAATGTAGAATAAGATAGGCTACTAAAATCAACATATTTGGTAATACTCTAAATTTAAGGAAAAATTTAGATAATCTCCTTAGGACTAAGTTTGATTGCTATACTTTAGGAAAGAAGGCGTTGAGATATTTACGAAAGCAAGCAAGCTTGACGTACGTTCGGGATTACGCAATCGCAGCTGTGCTTTTCCTTAGTTCTTTGAAATTAAATCAGCAAAGGGTAATTGTTTAATTACATGATTTCATGACGGTTGGTTTCGTATAGTGATTCACACATGAAGAATGGTACTGATATGATTCAGCCGAATAATTCTATACTTCTTTTTAATAAGTTCGTTCTGTTGATTAACGCACATAAAATTCATATGGAGTAGCTTATGTGTTAGAGTTATATCTAGCCTAACGTCTTCGTATAATTGACATTTTGCCCTCCAACATAAGGTCTGCTAAATAAAAGAAGAGCCCTATCTACTTGCACCGGAATCGAATGAGAACTTTACTTTGTTTCATCTATCCAAATTTCATAGTAATATGAGAAAAGGGAGAAGCCAAAGGTAAAGGTCCTCCTCTTATGTTAAGACCTACCTACGTATCTCTTAATAAGGCAATTTTGCACTAAATGGTAATCTTCAAAATCTAGTTCTGCCCTTTTAACCGTACTGTTTTAGTAGAGCGACCGCTAAGAGAATTGCTGATAGCACTTTTGCATTTGCTATTTTAATCTATTAGATTATTTATTTTCGTTTATGTGGGATTTTTATATAACCACCTGAGGTGACGAAAATCGAAGCTGCAGTCAAATTTTGGGAAACAAAGCTACGTGAAATTCAATGTAAAAGTGAGGCTTATTCGCATCATCGTGGAAGAATTCGTCTGCCAGTCCCTCATAATCTTAAACGAAATAGCGTGAAAACAATTCCACAATATTTTTACCGGGAACTGCAACAATGTTGTAGCCACACTTTAGCCAACCTATCAAATAATCGCAAATAGCTCTTTAGATCACCTTTTTCCTATTTAAATTTTCATTCATTTCTGTCCACAAAAGAATAATTGATGAAATGCACGCATGCCTTCTCAACCACTCACCCTGGCGTTCACTGCGAGCTATTGAATTTTTCATATTCATTGCTTCCGTCATAAGGTGGTTGAATATTTCACTTCCTCTTTCCTGTCCGTTAACTGCTACCTCTATCTCCCCTCTGCTATTTACCCTGACCTTCATCTTCATTCCGTTTATATCAATCTCTTTTTCCAATCCCTGGTCCTTTCCACTCGTTTTTCCGAATATTCCATCATTACCGCCAGAAATAGCATCATTTTGGTTAGTCTGATGTTTTACAGCTAAGACCGTCTTTGCTCGTGCTGCTTCATTCATGCTATCATCCATCAGTGGCTGCCTCAACCCTATCTGACCAGGTAGGAAGTTCACCAGTGAAGGACTTTCGGTTGTCCTCGCCCCGAATTCTTGTCTTCTTGGCCATTCAAGACCATCCTGTTGGTTCAGCATAATTGGAATTCCAGACTGGCTGAATGAATGACGATTTTGTTGATTTCTATTTTCTATACTGGCACCGCTAATTTCATTGCCAACAGCATTTTCAGAAATT